GCTCAATAATAAAATCACTTTTTCATTCTTCAGAATTCAGAGTATTCTATCCTGCAACACTCGATTTACTCGGATTTTATTTAATCATTTGCAAAAATGAGTATATATATTATTAAAAGTCTGTCATACATTTTCCAATTATGAACATTGTTTTGTCTTTATCAGAATGTAATTTGTGTCAACTAGAAAATGCATTAATTCATACTAATGATTATAGACATATTTCTTATTTAAAATCTATTTGATTCAAAAGAACGATGAAAATTTATTTATATTTTATCTAAGTAGCTGAAGCACATGGGCAGAATATAGCGTTAGTTGAAAGCTATATGATCAAAACAATCCAGATATCTTAATATCTCTATATTGTGAAAATTTATATATACTACTCCAAGTTTTACATTCTTCCAAAAAATGTTGATTAATTTTCATTATTCGAAAATGCATTCATAATTATGGTTGGCGATACCGTGAATACATTTCTTGAATATTGCTACAAAAAGACTAGCGTAAATAAAATACTACAATTAATTAAGACTTTTTATTTAATAAAATACAATAATTAATTCTTTAAATCGATGTCAGGTTTTAAATGAATTTAAGATTATTGAAAAAATTGTTTTCAGTATGTTGTTATAAAAACAATATTTGATTTTCTCGATTGGCGATGTGCTATACACTCGAATAATCTATACACAATCGAATTAATCGAAAATGTGTCACATCTATTGCTTATTCTTTTCGTTCTCTCATACTTCGCACGTTTTTCATCCTATAGTTTTTATAATATTACACAATTTATTTACAAACAGCAATAATCAAAAAAAATAATTTAATACTTTCATTAGTGTATATGTAATAAAAATCTTGAGGATGTGGGTGTGGATACTGTATTCAACTAGCACCCAAACCCACACCCATATCTAAATCGCACACTCACACTTACATTTCATATCCACACCCACAGCCACACCCTACCCATACTTTACTTTGTAACACTTAGCAAATCAACCATCAAGACCGTCGTTAAATTTATTTCATTAATAAACTATGTCTATTTCAATATCTAGAGAGACTATAATAATATGAAGTAAAGTTTTTGATCAATTGAGTATCCAATCATCATCGGGATATTTTTTGGTAATCATGTGGTCCATCTAGTTCCGAAATTGAAGGTCCAACGAAGATATACAGAAGAGTAAAGATGAGCATGACTGCCAGTATTATAGTACCAATACACCAATACAGTTTACCTATTTTATAGAAAGTGATAATAAATAATTATGTAAAAATATTCAAAAAAGAATTTGATCTTATACCACTCTCCGCCATGCTTTATTATAGATTACCTGCATAAAGTGTCTAACGTCTTTATTCTAAATATCGTGCACGCAAGGCGATGCAATTTCAAAGTCCCATTCAATATTCAAGTAAATGTACTCTGTATCATATCTTATTATCTACAGTCATAGACTTTAATACATTTCTTCGTTAGCAAATGAAATCTAGAGCTTGGATAGCTGTACAGAAATAATATAAGAAGCCAACAGTCGCCGTTTCAACTATCTCCTCCGACTAAAGCGAGGAAAGAAGGTTTCCAGTTGATATCTAGGTGTTTGTTTAGTGTACTTAATCTCGAAGTAATCATGCACAAAGCAAGAAGAAATTTTTAAAGTTGTATGCACACTATCGCTTGGTAGCGAACAAATCACTAAAAACTAAATAAAATAACAAGACTTGACAATGAGTCTAAGTTTTCCTCAATCCGCTCCGAGTTTTATTCTCCACCAATGAAGTTTTTCTGTGCAAACTTATTATTTTAGGCATAACATCATATTGTTCTCAGAAAATTGTTGATTATATTTTCCACGAGAAGAAATTGCCTCGCTTTATCGTCACATGCTCAAGAAATTATAGAAAACTAACACTTACTTTGTTTTTTCGACTCAAGCTTAGATGTGACATCGTTCAGGCTAAATCGCTGTTGGCTCAATTGCTTTTTCAGCTCTTGAATTTCCGTTTCGTTCATACTTATTTGAAGTGTTTTCTGCGCCGATTCTCTCTGCAACTGGTCCACTTTGAAATTTTGTTTATCGACCAGCTGTTTCAGTCGTCCGATCGAATCGTCGTTTGCATCTATTTGTCTGCAATACTTCTCTGACTGCTCTTGTAATTGGTTTATCTTTCTCTCGCGTATCTGTATCTCGTTCTTTTGTTGTTCCATCTGCTTCTTTAGTTGCTGAATTTCACTATTAGAACTGCTTGCCTGAGCTTCGCAATGTTTGAGTTGTGCTTGCAATTGTGTATTCTTAACTCCATCCAGTTTTATTTGATCTTTTCTTTGCTCCAATTGCTCTCTCATATGAGTAATTTCGGTGTTTTTGGCCTCAATCTGTATCTGTTGCTGATTTGCTTGTTCGTTTGATTGATCTATTTTCTTCTCACCTGCCTTAATTTCGGTCGTACTTTGTTCCAGTTTTTCTCTGAAGCATTGAATCTCACCATCCTTCCCATGTATTTGAGCTTCTAGTTGTTTTAATTGTTCTCTCATATGTCGATTCTTTACTTCATTTGCGTTTTTTTGAGCTTTTTGCTGTTTCATATTCCCTTTTATTTGTCGAATAACACCTTCGCTAAGATTAATTCGAACTTCTTGTTGTTTGAATTGATCTTTTAGCTGGCTGATCGCTTTCCCACCTGCATCAACTTCATTTTTTCGCTGCTCCAATTGTTCTGTAAGTTGATGAGTCTCAAATTCACTCCCATCGATTCTTATTCTTTGCTGTTTGATTTGCTCTTTCAATCGCTCAGTTATATTATGAAGTCTTTGAACCTTCGATTGATCAGTAGTGAATGTGCACGTGACTAGATGACTGTTAAGTTGATCTGATGATCCAGTCCAAGGACAATTGACATCTACTGATGGACAGGTTACATCGACCTAAAACATTCATGCGTGTACATTTTTCAAGATTTTCATCTTTGACAAGTTTAACAAATTGTACTCCGAGATTTTTTTCATAGTTACCTTCTGATCACGAGCACACTGGTTTTCGACATATATGAGTAAGTTCCAATCCAGTTGTTCACTGTTTTCTTTACATATTCTGATTTCCGAAGATTCTGTGAGTTGCTTGAACTTTTCTTTAAGTTTATTGATGTGATCTTTAAGTTGAGCAAGGTCATCTTCCACGTAATTATTCATGTCTTGCATCTCACGAAGCTGTTTAGTAACGCCGTAGAGACCATTATCTACATCCTGTGTTTTGTCATCCAAAATTTTAGCAGTTTGCCCACGTGTTTTTTCAGCCGTATACTGTATTTTATCAAGAGCATCAGTTTTCCATTGATCAATGTGAATGTAAAGAGCAGCTCGAAAGTCTGCAAGACTCTTTCTATCACTCACTACTTCTTGAAGACAATTTCGAGCTTCTATAACTTTCTCAAATTCTCCAGATAGCCATTGTCGATGATGTGCAAAATCCTTCGTACAGAAGAATGCTTTGCATCCTGCACAGTTGCATATTCCAGCTTCTTTGTGACACACAGAACACAGAATTTTTTGTTTCGGCATCTACTAACAAAGAAAGACATGCTTTAATAAGACTTTAAATAAGTATCCTCGAGAATTATGAACATTCAGTACACAAGAAATACCAACAATGATGCTAAAATTCTCCAAAGCAAACAATCAAATATAACAACACATTAAAGATAACGGAGAAAATATTACTACATGAGGCTTTATTATCAAATCGATATATATGATTCTCTTGATCCATTCTTCTCAATGAAAACTCTATGAAATAATAAGTCCGAATCTCTGGATATCTTATATCGAAGTCTTTATTGATGGACATTTAAGTGCAGCCAACAGTACGTTGTTCTGACTTCAGCTTAGTACAAATAAATTAGAGAGCGCACTCATATGGAGAGGAAAATATTACAAAAGAAAAGCAATAGTCATTAAAAAAACGACTGAAGTAGATGAAACTAAAGTGAAAGTGCCGATAATAATCTATTCACTAATGTGCATTCTATCCAAAAAGAGTCGTCCCTGAAGTCTGCTTAAAACAAGCAAACCGTTATTTTTATACAAGATGTGCAAAAACAATTGCATCGATGCCTGTTTTTTACTCATTTTTTACTTTAATGTCGATGACTTGCAATAAACTTCAAGTATTCTAGTTTTTATTTGCGAGATATTTTCGTTCTCTAAAATACAGCCACATATGCAAGCCGTTGCTTTTTCTTTCTATACAAAAAATACCTTAACGCTTTGTCTGCGTGAGAATTCAGACGAGAGAGAGAATAAATGCAACTGTCGGATGTCATTTGAGTCTGTATTTTGCCTCTTAATAAAACATCACAACAGCAAGGAAATCATAAATAGGGGTGTTACTTTATTTTAAAAGATAAGATTAAAATAAAGAATAAAAAACATTTTTCTCTTAAAATTCTAAAATTTTATCTTGTCCAGAGTTTGGATGTGAATCGGTTAGAGACAAGCACAACACCCTCATAGTTACACCTTTCATTAGAAGATTTAAAGTCGACTGAAAACAATCCATCACAACATAACTTGAAATACAAGACAAATAGATGAATTCTCGTCACTGAGATGTAAATATATACTATGTATTTGACTATTTTCGACATCACAGATCAGTTTTCAGGTTTCTTCTAATCCAGAAAATTTCAGTCATTACCAAACAAGCCACCATCTTCCATGTCTTAACAGTACAATTATTTCATCCAAAGATGCATCATTTCGATCATTTACAATAACTATAAACAGTTCATTTAATTTTTTTGTCAAATTTGATTTATTATAAATAAAAAAAATAATCGAACTATTCTTAATAATTACTGAATTCTTTTCGTATCTAATCTTTTAAATAATGTTTGTCTAATTATTTATAAAAAAAAATTAAAATGGACAAAAAAAAATCACCGAAAATTAGAAAAGAGAAACAAAGATTTTATCAGTTAAATAAAAACTATGAATAATAAGTAAGAACATTTTTTTGATTACCACGTAAAAATAAGATCGGCGGTAAGTTATAACTAATTGCATCTAAATAAGCAAGATAAAGAGCAGCTGATATTGATTGTTTACGTGGAATTGGTAATGTACTAAAAAGAATCAAATAAGACTTCATTTTTTTGTTCAATACATTCAAATACACTTACACGACAACTAATGTTGATTTGGAACTATATTCTAATAGGTATTCATGTAATTTTAAACCACGTTTAATTTTATCTTTATTTGCTTCATATTCATGATCACTTATAGGAAATGCTTCATTATTTTGATTCCATGTTTGTAAAATTTGTTGAAATTTTTCTGTTTCCTTGTCATTTGGTGGTTTATTAAGGCCATGAAGTACATGTAAATCAGCATAGTTGATTCGAAATTTTGCTAATAATGATGCCATTGATATATGTTGTCGTTCTGCATCATCCTTGTCACCTGATACACATGAAAATATACGAAATTGACAATTACGCCAACGTTTTCGTCGTCGTAATAAATAAGGTAATAATAATGTTAAACCACCATCATCAAATAACCACCAAACATCAATTATAGTCGATGCAGAATGTTTTGGATGAAATACATTCATTGTTAATAAGGCACCTTTATTTATTATCGTATTTTTTAACATTAAAACATCTTGTTGACGTGGTGTTGTTGATCTTGCACCACTACGTAATGGACTTGATGAAATAAATTCTTCATTTTTTTCTTCATCTTCACTATCTTCTTCATCATCATATTGATCTTCCGGTATATCTATAAAGAAAATGCATTTTTGAAATAAATGAAAATGAAAATTCATATTACCAGGTCCAAAAAAATCACTAAAATCAAGTCCACTTTGAAGACGTAAAAGTCCAACACCATATTTAAGATCAAGTGCATCATGAATTATATTAAAATAATCATTAGTTGCTTCGGCTTTTATTAACCAATCATTTTTAAAACCAAGAAAAACAACATTTGGACGCATTTTGCCAACACCTACACACTAAGAACAAAGAATGAATTATTAAAACCATTTAATATCGAGATGAGACACTTTTAATCTCTTGAGATTTGTAAAATTATTAAACGAAATGCAATTTAATCATGTTAATATCAATAATCTAACATACAAAACTGAATATTACATACTTGTAATAATGCCATTGTACCTTGTCGTACAGTCGGTGCAACAATAGATTGATAGAAAGCTTTTGAATTGCGCTTTTTTAACCATGCTTCACCATGTTCTTTTTGATCATTCAATCTAATATTTATCGATGGATCATCCTAAATTTATACAAATGTATAATTCAAAGAATTTCGTTTCTTTTCTTACCAATACTACATTACCACAAATCATTAAACTATTACCATGAGTAACTAATGATCCAAGATCAACTAATGCTGGACGACAGATAGGATTTCCTGTTAAAACTAACATCTGTGGTCGAAAATTTTTAACATGTTCTTGTACAGTTCCTAATTTCAATGTTGCATCAAGTGCTCTTCGATATGTATGAGCTTGTACAGATGAACCCCAATTAATTTCTACTCAATAAATATCGTTTAAATTAATCTTCACAAAATCGAATATTTCTCACCTGGTTTTGTTGTTCGAACATAGAGAAAAATTCCACTACTAGCAACTAATGTTATTAAAGCTGCCCACCTAAATCAAAAAGACAAGAATATAATTATTTATTTATTTTAATTGTCTTACCAATTAATAACAAACATTACTACAACACATAATAATGCGCCAACGAGTGCTAACCATTTATTATAATATCGAAAAGCTGGTCGCCATCCACTAGCTTTAGCTAGAGAAGCATCAAAGCATGAATAATTAACTAAAGCGTAAGTCATAAGAAAGAAATTGGAAATAATTGGTGCAATAACATTTAATTCACCTTGAAAAAAAATAGCAAAATTAAAAAACAAAATATATATTATTTTTAATTTGCTTTTACCAATTGCAGCGAATAAAATTGAAATAAAATACGTTAGAAAATATGCTCGATGTGGCTCATCAGATTTTCCATTTCCAACAGAAAAAAATTTTAAACACGGAAATATCATATCACGACAAACTGCTTGAAATACTTTTGGTGCGCCAACAAGACTTGCTAAAAAAAAACATTTTCTTTTCTTTTCTAATTATTATAATAGTTAGAATTCTACCTAGAGCACTTGATAGTGTTGCAGCAAATATTCCAGCTAATAGAAAGAAATAAAACAATTAAAAAAGAAAATAATCTATTTATTTTAACAAACCAATTATAATAGGACCAAATGCTGATATCATTCTCATTGTTTGATAATTATAAATCAAACCAGATTTACATTCTGTATCATTAATAACTGATGAACAATTAACTATTTGTATTATACTTCCATTTTTTCGTTCATAAAAATCCACTTAAATAATATTAAATTTAAATTTTCTTTTATTTAAATTTAATAAATCTTACAATTTACATCTCGACGTGTTGTACAACCTGCTACAATACAGAAAGTAAGATAAACAAATGAAGTGAGAGCTATTGCAACATTTGTACCAAGTGGAATGGAATGCGATGGATTCTTAAGAGACGATATGTAATTAAATATTTTTATTTATTCTAAAGAATTACTTTTAAATTGCCTGAAATATTCGCACCAGCAAGAATTCCAGTGACTGAAGGAAAAAAAAACGCCAAATACATGTTGGAATGTTTCACCATCTTGAAATCTAGGTCCAAAATTTTCTTTGATAATTTTCCCTAAGTAAAAATTTTTTTATATGAACAGTTTCTTTTTTTTAAAAACACACATGAATATCCTTCAAAACCATGTCGTCGTTTATATGGTGTAGGAGGTAAAAAAGAACCGATAAAAAAATTTAATAAAGATGCTGATAATGTAATAAGTAATGTTATTTGTACAACAGTTTCACCACGCATACCAATCAAAGCAATACCTAATATAAATGTCATTGTAATAACACCTAAATTTATATTGAAGAAAAAAAATTCTTTTGGAAAAATAAATTCCTACCGATTACTCGAACAACATTAACAGAATTTCCATCAACAACAGTACCAAATATTTTTACACCATGTTCCTAAAAAGACATTTTTACTTTATGAAATTAGATTATTCTTCTTTTATTATTTATATTACTTTAAGAAGATCACGAACTGTTTCAGCAAAACCAACTGCATACATGGCAGCTGCAACTGCATCTATTAAAAATTTATAAATAACATTTATTTTTATTCAATAGTCAAATTGTTACTAGCAAAAGAAAAAATTAAACCAATAGCACCACCAAATTCAGGACCAAGACTACGAGATATTAAATAATATGTTCCACCACCTTTAACTTCTCCATTTGTACAAATAGCACTCATTGATACAGCTGTAATAACGGTTACTGCTGTTGAAATTATAACGATAAGACATGCTAAACCCATACCAGCTTGTCCCGTAACCCATGATAAACGAAGAAAAAGCATAACACCAAATATATTTAATACACATCGAATCTAAATAGAAATAATTATTTGTTTATTTTTAATCGAATATTTCAACATACAAGAACACCAACAATCCATCCAAATTTGACAACTTCAATTCTTGGTTTTATATCTAATTGTGATGGTTGATCCATTCGTGGTTCTACTACACTTATCATTTCACTATTTAAATCAATTGTTGATCCTAATCGAAGTTTTGATGAAAAATGTGATGTTTCATGTAATGCTTCAAGTGTTGGTCGACTTTTTGGTCCAGGCGATGTTACTGAAAATAAATTTCTATAATGATCAACATGTGGTAAAGCATCAATTGTATCATAAGGATTTATTTCTCTATCTTTATCTTCCATTTGCATACGGTTATTATGAATATTTATTGGTAGTACTAAACCAGATGCTGTACTACTATGTTCACTATCATCATCACCAATTAATATTTTAATTTTTTTATCAGTTGGAGCTGGCGATGGTTGAACGATTGATGGTAAACCTTAATATAAATCATTTTTATTTTATCTTAACTTTTTTTATTATTAACATACTATTTGGAATACTAATTGCTTTCCCCAATGATGTATCTGTATTCGAATCATTACTAGACACCTTCGCTACTTGAAAACGTGCACTACTAACTGATCGTCCCATACCAGCGTTTGTATTATTACTATTAATCTCTGTAGTAATCTCATTGTGAGAAGTATTAGCATTAGACATAACTAATGTTTTGTAATCATCTAAAAGAAAAGAATATAATTAACAATAGTGATATATTATACCATCATGTTAAGAAAAGAATTATTAAAATTCGAAGACTTATATATACACTCGTTTGGATAGGAGGAAGAATCAGATTGTGTTTACTTACTTAATCAAAAAAATAAAGAATACGATTTCCTTTCACATGTCACTACATAATATACTATTTTGACAGGGATAAATTAATATGCACTACATGTTTAGTAAGAGATCAGCATGTAGTGATGATTATTAATGTTACTTGTTTGATAGAAAGAAAGCTTTTTCTTTCACTTTTCAATTGATTTCTTCTTTTTTTTTGACTTTTGTTATATGATTATATAAAACAAATGAAGTTAATTCATGCCATATGTTGATTTTGAAATGTTTATTTATCTTAGATGACAGGTCGAGATAAATGTGATTTTATATGATCGAAGACAATTGATACATTAAAAATTTGTCTGAAAAATAAATCTATTGTAAGAAGAAAAATAATATCCGTTATCCAAAAGAAAAAAAAATTAGTCTTCCCAATAAATCTAATAACAATGTGAATTGATCCTTTAATAAAACAAAACAACCATAGAAAAAGAAGACAACGAATGACATTTTTTATGGTGTGAATGGAAAAGATTATACATAGACGGAAGCAAATGACCTTACTAACTAATAAAAAAATACTCATAAAGAAAAATGACGTGCGTGTATGCGTTGTTTCCTCTTTAAACTTGCATTTCTATTCTTATGACAAAAGAGGTAATAATGAAGAATAAAATAACTCCTTATATATCTACTTTAGTGAAGATTTTTAATCGGAAAATTCTAAAGAACAAAGAATAAACGAGTATCTATGTTGGAAAAATATAAAATATTTAAGTCAATACTTCATACGTTTTCTCACCGCTCGCTATCAATAAATAGAATCGAAAAATTGTTGAGGGACTATTCTACAGTCTACTATTTCTATATAGGAGAAAGGTAATCAGATAGTTCATTCGATTTTCTCCTTCTATTCACACCTAAGAAACTCACTTGACTAACTAAACTCAGTGGAATCACTAAGTTTTACTGACAAACATAGAGAGACAAATATATAAGGGAAAAAAATCGTGGCAGAATGCATCAACTGGAAGAATAGAAGAAAAAGAAGAAGAAGAAAAAAAACGCCAGAGAAACCATGTTGCATTTTTGTGCAATTTGTCGTTTCTCTCTATTCTCCATTGTCGAGCACACGACATAAAGAAAACTTTATATACTATACCCATATTCTATCAACATGTTCAAGTACTACAAAAAAAACAAGGAGAAGAGAAGAGAAAAAGAAGAAAAAAAAAAGAAATGTTTTAAACACAAAAAATTAATTTACTTTATAATAATATTCTGTTTGAATAATACATTAACTAAATCTTTCGATTATGTATGTACCACTATTTATTGTTCTTACCATACGCAAATAAACGTTTGTCATTCAATTTACTTTTTCATCCGCTTAAGG